AAGTAATGCTGTCAACAAGATTGTAGGGGATGGAGTTAGCCATTTGGCTGTTGAGACCATCCTCTGTCCAGGTGGCCCATAGTTTTAACCTTCACACTCTCACAGTCATGGGGCAATGGAAGAGAACCTTACCAGAGGGTCAAACTCCCAGGGGTCACTGACCTCAGGAGGCAGGAGACCCTTGCTCCTAGAGCCTCCACCTGCAACACAGTCTCCATCAACGTACATTTCAGGAGACTGAGGCAGCTGGACCTGGAGAAGCCAGAGGGCTGTTTACCAAGCGTCCCAGTGAATGAGTCACTGTGCGAACATTTATCACCACACCCCAGAGTCTGAAGTAAAGGAGAAAGACAAGCAGCCATTACTATTCCTTTTCTGTTCTTCTCTTGGGATAGCATCGCAGCCAAGTCAGAGACTCAGATATGATATTTATGATATGATCTGAGATTCCTGCAGTTGGGAGATGCTGAGGAGTTGTGCGGTAGAGCAATTGGCGATAAGCTGGGCAGTGAAAGTCTCACTGTACCCCGCTTCCTCCTCGCCCTTAGCAAGATTCTACGCAGCATCCCAGGAGGGCAATTCTTCCCAGCTGAGTCAAAAAGCAAATCTGCAACCATATTAACTGAACACTGGGCTCTGCCAGTGGAGAGGCCCAGGTCTAGGCCAAGGCCTAGGAAGCCAGCTGGGAATGAGGGCTGGTCTGTTCTGCTTTTTGAGGTAGGAGAGTGGCTAACCTGTCCAGTCTAACCTGCCAGGGCCCTTGTCCACGTGCTCAGGGCGACTGAAACTCTTCCTCTTACATTCAGACCAGAGGCGTGACAGGGTGAGAGGAAAGAGCAGTCATTTGGCCGCACCCTGCCTGTGGGAGGTGTTTACAAACACTCCTGGAATTCAGAGAACCTGCCAGGGGTCAGGTGGCCCAGACATTGGGGCCCCGGAGTCGTGGGCGGGGCAGCACAGGTGGATTCCTCCAGTTGACAGGTGGGGCTGGTCCAGTCATCATCACTGCGCTCGCGCACTCCCTGCCAGTGCTGTGGATCAGTGCTGTGGATCAGTACTGTGGATCTGTAAAGCTGTGAGCAGACAGACTTATTCTCAGGTGGTCAATCTGCGAGTTCTGATGGTTAGAAAATGTGCTCTGGCTGGAGGAGGGGAGAAAACAACCACCCAAGTGCCTACAAGACAGTAAGCCAGAGCCTAAGCATGTTCTGTGCATTGGCTCGTCTTCCCTGATAAATTTCCAACTCCTGCCTCTAGTAAGTCCTGCTTCTCTGAGTTAGCCCCTGCCAGTGTCCAGTATCTGAACAAGAAGGATTTTGATCTTGATCTCTCTGGGAAGCTGAGGTAGCCTTGCCCTCCCCCAACCTATCACCAATGCTTTAACCACAGAATCTATTTGTGTCTGACAGAAACCCAAACACATGAGGTCACAAGGTGCTCATAATTTCTCCTAGCTTGTCATGCTCTCCCTCCTTCTCTGTCCTCTAATCCTTTCAATGAGTAGAAGGGATACTCTGTGTCATACTCAGCCTATGAGACAATCCAACTAGGTTTCATTCTGTGTGTGTGTGTATGTGTGTGTGTGTGTGTGTATAGAACCAGAACTAAAAATCTTTTTTTAAAAAAATATTATTTATTTATGCATACAAGAACTGGGGTACAGGCCAGAGGTGTGTGTGTGGGGGGGGGGTGAGAGGATTCACCAGAGACAGAGTGGGGAACAGAACAGGCAGACTGACTGAAATACACTGCTGAGGGGAGCAGCAGGCGAGACAGGAGAGGTCTGCTGAGCCATGTGGGTAGCTCCCTGGCCAGGAATCGAACCTGTGCTACAGTGGCTGTGGATAGCTTCATAGGTTGTGTCTTAACCCCTTGTGCCACCAGGAAGGTCCCAGAACTAAAAATCTTTACTTCCAGAGTCAGTTTTGACACCAGATCTCTGACTTTGTTCAGCTGGGACGGATTGGAGCAGTGGAAAGTAAAGAAACCAAGAGGGAATTATATGACTTATGTAATTCAGTCCCAACCTAGGATAGACACCAAGAATGGCTAATGAGTGGGGTAGAACAGAACAGAAGGCAGACAGTCTGCAAAGCAGCACTTGCATTACATGAAGGAATCTGGCTGTGACCTGGCTGCTGGGCTACTTCTGTTCACACCTGCCTTAAAAAGTGTACCTGATCACATCACTGCTCAAAATCCTCCAAAGGCCTTCTTACCCTGGACCAACATTGGTGAAAACTCCTTAGTCTACTGTTAGCCAGATGTGCATGATCTGGGCCTGCCAACCTTGACTGTCTCACCTCCACCATCCAAACCCAGTACCCTCTTAAACTATCCCATATGCCAACCCCAATGGAATATTCATAACCCCTAAAGATGCTATGAACTCTCTGATCTCCACACACTTTCTTTAGCTGCTCTGTTCTCTCCTCTTGAAATGCTCTTTCCTTCTGACCACTTCATTGCCCCTCAAATCTCACAGATTCTTTAAGGCCAGCTCACAGTTCTTCTTTCATAATACTCCCTAACCCCACCCCTCGCTTAGAAAAATTTCTCTCCTCAAAACAACCAAATATTTTATTAATACAGGACTTCTTGGGGCCTCCCCGGTGGCGCAGCGGTTGAGCGCTGGGTTGCGAAGCTGCCCGCGGCCTCTGTGGCGCCAGTTCAATCCCCGGCTGCTCCCCGGCCACTTGAGGAGGGTCCCACATGGCGCGCAGACCTCCCCTGCCGCCTGCTGCTCCCCTCAGCAGTGTACTTTGGTCCTTCTGCCTGCTCTGCTCCCCGCTCTGGCTCTGGTGAATTCTCTCACCCTCCCGCGCTTCTGACTGTACCCAGTGCATGTACAAACAAACAAATAAAAAAAAAAAAAAGCCTCATAAAAAAAAAATACAGAACTTCTTTTTATTTTTTTAAGATTTATTTATTCATGCATACAAGAATCGGAGTACAGGCCAGATGTGCAGGACGGTGAGAGGAGTCACCAGAGACAGGGCGGGGAACAGAACAGGCAGACTGACTGAAATATACTGCTGAGGGGAGCAGCAGGCGATTCTCGTTGCTGCACCATGTGGGATTCTCGTTGGCAGGCCATGATCGAACCAGCACTGCAGAGGCTGCAGACAGCTTCACAGTGCTGCCCTCAACCACCTGCGCCACCAGGGGAGACCCAATAGAGGACTTGTTTCATAGCGTTTGTCATGGTGTACCTTGGAATGAGGTTTTATTGTTGGACCCATAGTAGCACCTAGAATATGTGGGGCACAGTAAATACTAAGTAAATATTTGTGGTGATGAACAGAGCTCTGGGGTTAACAGATCATGAAGAAGGGAAAAAGAACCTCTTTTCCTTTCCTCTTCCCATCACTGTTAAATATTTACAACATACAAAACAAACCTTTCCCACACTGTAGGAAACATTATGTAGTCATGGTTGGCTGAAATAGCTGCAAACTCTTCAATTCCATACACTTCCTAAGAACCTCCTGTGTACCCAGATTATTGCTTGGGACTGTGGAGAAAACAAGTTACATAGGTTACCACCTGGTTCCTGCCCTGAAAAGGGATGTGGGAAAACAAGCTTTGGAGAAATCTGAATGAAGCCTTGCAGTGGGAAGGACATGGGCAGGCCCAGAGGCTGGGAGGGGACAACCAAGTCAGGAAAGGCCTGGGGGTGGGAAAATTATCTGGGCTACAGTCTGCTCAGGAGATAGAGGAGAATGAGTTAGGGTGGGGCCAAAATAGGAATGAAATCTTTTAAGCCTGAGCTTAATGCAGTTGGCTGTGAGTCAATATTGTAGGATTTAGAGCAGTTCAATGTGCAGTGTTGGGTGGAGGGTGGAGGCCAGGCGGGAAATTCATAGCGATCCAAGGGATGAAGTAAGAACATTGGATGGGAGCTGGAAGACCTGGTTTCTAGTCCTGGCTAGAGGTTATGGGATCTTGAACAAAACACGTCTCTGCTCTGGGCCTGTCCTTAACTGTAAAACCTAAAAACCTTCAAAGTGACCCTTTCCAATCTGATGATCAATTGTTGAGTCTTTAAAGAAGGATATTGGGAAATGAAGGAAAATGCTAATCTAATGGATATCTGGAACAAGGAAGTGACAGGCTGTCTCTTCACCAGAGATGAGGAGTTGATGGAGACTGAAGAGTTTCCATCCAGAGAGAAATGTGGAACTGGGGGTGTATGTGGGGGTGTCCTCTGCTGCTGATGTCTGGTTTGGCAATCCTATTTTCAGTTCCTCCTTTCTTCCCCTTCACCTCACCTTATTTGGTGAGGGTAGGGCCAATAGGTCACTCCCCCCCCCTCACCTTCCCCTTTTCAGGTCACTTGACCCTCCTCCTTCCTCACCTACCTGGCACCATCCCAGAACCTCCTTCCTACACAGTCTGACAGTCTAAAGAAGCAGCAGTGACTTTGGGATCATGTTCATACTCATTATGCTCTAATAACTACGTTTATTGCGTTCTCACCACGTGGCAGCCTACATTATTATTATTATTTTTTTTAATAGCAATTCCATGAGATGATTGTTATCACATTTCACAGATGAAGAAACTGAGACCAAAAGATGTTACGTAACCTGCACGAGGTGACACCCCTGCCAGTCGGCGATGCTAGACTGGAAATGAGTCAGTGCAGCGGTCAGTTCCGGTTGGACAGTGCGACCCGCGGCATCGGAGACCCTATCCCTCGCCCATCGCCACTCAGACCCGACTTCTCCTAGTCCCTCACCCCCCACGCCCCGCCCACACGTCCTCCAGGCCCGGCCGGGCCGCCGCAGCCCCGCCCCCGGCGCCGGGGAGCCACGCCCCGCGCTGGAGGTAGAGCCGGGCGGGAGCCGGCAGGTGGAGGGGCCGGGAGGCCCTCGAGGGGCGTGGCCGGGTCGGGAGGGGCGTGGCCGGGTCGGGAGGGGCGGGCCCCGGAGGGGGCGTGGCCGGAAGCCTTAAAGTGGCCCGGGCGTCGGGGCGGGCCGTAGAGGCCGTGGGTCGTGGCGATCTCCTGCTGCTTTGAGAGCTGACCGCAGCGCCGTCACCATGTCGCTGGCGGCCTCGGCGGGCCGGGGCCCGGGGGCCGTGTGGTCCCCAACGCACGTACAGGTGACGGTGCTGCAGGCGCGGGGCCTGCGGGCCAAGGGCCCCGGGGGCACGAGCGACGCGTACGCGGTGATCCAGGTGGGCAAGGAGAAGTACGCCACCTCGGTGTCGGAGCGCAGCCTGGGCGCGCCGGTGTGGCGCGAGGAGGCCACATTCGAGCTGCCGCCGCTGCTGTCCGCCGGGGCCGCACCCGCGGCTGCCGCCACCCTGCAGCTCACCGTGCTGCACCGCGCTCTGCTCGGCCTGGACAAGTTCCTGGGCCGTGCCGAGGTGGACCTGAGGGACCTGCACCGGGACCAGGGCCGCAGAAAGACCCAGTGAGTGTGGGCCAGGGCGGTGGGGCAGTGCGGATAGAACTTGTAACCTGGGCACCGAGATCCTTTCAGAAGGAGCGCAGCTGTCAAGTTGGTGATGTGCCCCGGAGGGGGCGTGGGAGGGTGGGGGGACAGGGGACTGGCCGAGGGAGGACTTCCGAGTGGGATCCCCTCCCGCATGAATAGTATTCGCACCTAGCTTCAACTTCTTCGACCATTGCGCCCCAACTCTCCCAGTTTGTGGTCTCTTTGAAAGCAGGGGAGGTCCTGGGGTGATTTTGAATCTGCTGGACGTGCTCAGAGCATGGAACATTATTAGTAAGCACTTAATGAATTTTTGATGAATTGAAAATATATGTGGGCTGGCGAATTTGTCTTGTTTGTGTAGGTAGTGTGCATGCATGATACAAGGCTTAGCGTATGTGGAAACTTTCTGGATGTTTCCTTAAACTGAGAATTACTGGGCCAGGGAGCAGTAACTGGGGTTGTAAAATCCAGGCAACTCCTTGGCGCTAGAGGCTCACCCAGGGGCCAAAAAGAGGCATTAAAATGAGGGGTGGGTGGAGGTGGCTGGCTTGGGAATGCAGGCTTGGAGGTGAAGGCTAGCCCTCACCTCCACTTCAAAACGACAAAGGGGTTGGTGACAGAATTTGCCCCTCCTCCCCAAAGAATGTCTGAACAGTTTGGTCTTAACTTTCAGACTGAAAAAAATGTTAACCCTTTTTGCTCTGGGTCCCTAATTAGTAAGGATTTCCCATTGATGGCTGGAACCAGGGCCTGCCCTTGGATAAGTCCAATTGGGAAAGAGACAGTTTGTTAGTTTCTCTCCATTTCTGCTCCTGGATGGATGGCTGCTCACCTGTATGTAGCTCCCCAGTCAAGATTTCTGTGTCAGGGCATCTCAGTCCTGCAGGGCAAATTGGGCAAAGGACAGTTCTCTGCAAAGTGTTACTGATTTATTGGTTTTCTTTCACAGGTGTTTGGAACTAGAACATTGGATTATACTAATCTAGTATACTAAAAGCTAGCTTCACTTAACTTAATTAGTTATTTTGCTGGACCTTAAATATGCAAACCCATCCTGTTACCACCTAGCTCCTAGAGTTTGTGAAGCATACCAATTCACTTTGTGTGTTTTAGATATAAACAGTATTGTAACTTTACCTAGTGAAGGAGACAGGAAAAGCCAGAGGGTTTGAAGTTACCAGACTCCTTTTTCTGTGGGGTGGGTCCAGTTTCGTATGCATGCTTGAAAATATAACACCTTATTCTCTTATCTGGCCAAAGATGAATGGGTATTTCTGAGCTCAAATCAGATAAAAATAGAGAGCCTTGAGGTGAGGCTGGATGGAGTGTCTCATGGCATCAATTTACAAACCATAAGGTGAGCAGTGTCTTTGCTAAGGATGAACTGAAGCAATGCTAATTTTCTATCTGATTAAATGACATTTGGGACCTGGATGGCTTCTTTTCCAGCTCCAGTGGAGCAGCTAGCTAAGTCCTTTGTCTTGTCTCATCCCAGGATGTGTGGATGCTAACTTCTGGCTCTGCCATCCTTTTTTTATGTGAACTTTTATTCCCTTGAAAGATAGATGGTATCTCCCTGCCAGAGATGGGGATTACAGATTCCTGGGCCTACTTCTCACTTGGGTCCTGACTCATTGTTAGGCTTCAGTCTGCTTAGTTTCTAAACACCCAAGTTTCCCTATTTGTAGGTGGAGCTTGTTGTCGGACTTAATTGATATTTGTAAGATGTTTCTGGGTTCCTGCATTATGGAGCCTGTGTATGGACTCAAAAGTTTCTGTTAATGTTTTGTGAAGAATGAAAAACTGTCCTTAAATTCTCTTTTCCAGGAAGGGTTCAGCCTCTGTATCTTTATTTTTGTTATCCTCTCTAATGTAATCCTAAACCCAGATGCCTACTCCTGTCTGCTATATGAGCTGATTACCATTTAGTCACAGTGTCAACTTGTAGAAAAAATAGTGCTTAGCTGATTTTTTTTTTTTTTTTAATAACTGCAAAGGAAGGCTTCTTTGCTCCTCTAGCAGGTAAGGGAAATTGCATATTTTCCATCTACTATTTCCTGGGACTTTCCAATGTCTCAGAGAACCCACTTAAACTAAGCCTGTCTGATCATTTGAGTGCTCAAGATAACTGGAACCATGAGATATCCACACAGGTGGAAGTTAAACTGAAAGAAACTGGTTCAGTCAGGGAAATCATTTGAACTAGTTATTAACGGTTTAACTCTTATTTAGAAGTTAAAAACCGGAAGCAAAACAAAAGTTCAAATCTTGGCCTATAGGTCTGTGTGTGTGTGTGTGAGTGCATATATGTGTGTGCATATATGTTAATCAACAGCAAAGAGTTGCTGCTATGGAGGCTGACTTTTGTCATGAGTCCTGAAGCCAAAGTGTTAATAGCTAACTGTGTTAATATTTCCATTCGTTCTCTTGATAAGCCCCCATCTATTATTTTTGGAGTCAAGAGCCTATGCTTAAGACTCAGATTTTGTGGATCTCATATTTAGTATGTGACACACAACTTTAAACACCAAACAGAGGCTAACATATTGATAGGATATATTTATAGGAAAGAATTTGTGTCCCCTTCAGTTAAGAAATTGAAGTGAGGGCCTCTCTGGTGGCGCAGCGGTTGAGCGCTGGGCTGTGAAGCTGCCCGCAGCCTCTGCAGCGCCAGTTCGATCCCCGGCCACCTGCGAGGGTCCCACATGGCCCAACAGACCTCTCCTGCCACGCCCGCTGCTCCCCTCAGCAGTGTGTTTCGTCAGTCTGCCTGTTCTGCTCCCCGCTCTGGCTCTGGTGAATTCTCTCACCCTCCCGCACTTCTGACTGTACCCAGTGCTTGTATAAATAAAGAAGTAAATCTTTGAAAAAAAAAAAAAAAAAACTTAAAAAAAGAAAAGAAATTGAAGTGAATTGATTTTGCCTTACACTTACCTGTTAAACACCTGGGTCCTCATCATAAAACAAACATGAAAATCTGAGAGGCAGAATCAAGTGATCAACTTGGAGGATTCTCTGCTCAGTCCTCTAGTCTCATATAGTTTAGGAACATGGATTGATTTAAAAATACCTTTTTAGTATACAAAGAACAGTACAATTGAGGGAAATAAACTTGTCAGGACAGATTATAATAAATATACATTCAGGTTCGTGACCAGGGTGTAACTAAATATCTTGAAACTTAATACTGTCATAGTCTTCCAGATAGGAAGAGAGTGTGAGTGATGAAGAGTCATTTTCTTAGCTCCCCCTGAAGATTCGAGAAGGAATTTGGTTGCATACAAAAGGATCAGGATGACAATAAATATGAGATATTTTAGAGAACTACAAGTGTCTTAAGATGCCATAATCAGTTGCCAATGGCAAACTGAATTATTAGAAAGAAGTAAAGTCTAAATGATTGTTTTCCTGAAAGAGTTGGGTTTAGAGAAATGACTTAGATGACCATAGAAATCTATAATTCACAAATTATGACCAATCAGTGTTCATGCTTATTCCTTTTGGCTTCCTAACCACATTTAGGTTTTCTGTAATAGATTGAAAAATTTCAGCAGAAATTTTTGCTACTAGCTATTTTTCTTTCTTGGGAATCCCCTTAAAGAAAGCATTGAGCCTTACTGGAAACCCTCCCACCTCTTACCCTGTCCTACATCCACCCAAACCCCCCTCCTTCCCCTGTGCCCAAAGACCAAGTTTTCAGTCTGTTCTGAGATAAATAACCCCAACCTGCTTAAAGCACTGGAATGAAATGACTAAGAAGGGGAGAGCACTTCAAAGTCATTGTTCGTTAGGGTGGTAAGAGATGTTCCCTCATGTTTATTCATGGTATTAATTTGATTATGATTTCATTTTAAGACATTCAGCTAATGATGCCCCCCTTGTCTTTAAAGTTCAAACATACTTTGAATAAGTATTTTTTTACTACCTACTATGTGCTGGGCTGTAGGTATACAGTATAAACAGTGGTGACCAAAATAGACATGGTAACCTGCTTTCAGGAAGCTCAGAGCTTTGTGGGGGGAGACAGAGATATTAAACAAATGAACACATGCATAAATAATAATGTATTGTGAATACTGTGGAGGAAGAGAAAGGGTATCAGAAGAGAAGAGAGCAGGAAGGACATAATTTAAAGGGAATTGCAAATAGCTTGTCTGAGGCTTAGACCTGAAGAATTAGGGAGGAATTTTTCTAGTGAAGAGAAGAGGAAGGGGCTGGAGAGGAGAGGACCCTGTACAATTGCCCAGAGGCAGATACATCCCGGCACATGTTGTATAGATTGTGCTGAAGAGGAAGGCAGGGCTTTATTTAAGAGCAATGGGAAGCAGCCTCTGGATGTGAAAAACAGAGGGGTGGTGTGATCCAGTTTTTCAAAAATCGCTGTGGCTGTTGGGCGTAGAATGCATTTGAAACAGGCTGAGGCTGAAATCAGACAGAGAAAATGGTAAGCTTTTGCAGTAATCTAGGCAACCAACAATGGTGGCTTGAACTTAGGGTGATGGCCATGGAGATGGACAGAGGTGGTGTTAGGGGGAATGGATGTCCTGAGCAAACTCCATACAGGAATTTATTTCCCTCTTGTTCATTTCCTCATTTTCCCTTTCCTTGCAAATAAACCTTTGATTAACCTTTTATGTGTGCCTGCAGTTTAAGTCCCCTTTAAGTGCGTGGGTGAGGACCCACAGTCAGGCAACCCATTTTATATCGGGGTTGCCCTGTAACAGCGTGTGGATTTGAGAAATATGTTGAGGGTTCGGTTGGCCCGACTTGTGATCGATTGGATGTGAGAGGAAGTGATAAGAATGAACAAGTAATACAAAGAGTGCTTGCTCTTGCAAATGTACCAGGAAGTGGCTGCTGCCTTCTTTCCCCAACAGTCACTGTGATATTGGAGTGAGGTCACACCATTGCAAAGAGACACCTGTGAGTGGAATTTTCTGTTGAAGCAAATTAGTAAAACACCATTGAAACCAGGA